AGCCTCGTGATGGTTAGACGTGTACAGCCCAAGGTCGCTGCAGCATGTGCATGAGTGGCACCCATGTGTACCATTCCAATGGTTCTCTCTCTGGATTCCTGCGATTATCGGGGCATGGTCGCTGTAGTTGACTTGAAGGACTGATGTGGAGGAAGGTTTGTGTGCACTCCCAATATACCCCAATAATGCATGTTCTTTATGCAATCTGTTCACGAGATTTTCGTGCTTCACGACCTGTTGCAGTAATACTGTTCGCCCAAACACAACATTTTTCATGACAAATGTTAGGAAAGCGTTGTGGCGATTGTTTTAAGCTCATAACTACGAACAAAATTTGAGTTGTGTTTTATATTCATTTATTTTAATGAAGAAAACCTCTTTGATATAACTAAAAGAAGGAGAAAAATATTTCTTAAAAACATATTCTAATGTGATTATTACCAGCATTTCACCTTATATTTCCACATGTATATTTCTGAATAAGATTTAAGAATCATACATCGGATTTGTTTTATGGAATATGCAAATAAAATAATCTTTTTCGGCTACATTAAATCCCCAAAACAGATTATTCGTGTAACCTTGCTGCCATACCCCTGCTAGAATTTTAAATGAACACGCTGAAAAAGGCTGAAGGACCCCAGAAACGTCAGACTAAAATATCCCCAGAGATGTTAAATGTAAGCCCGGTGTTATAGATTAAAGTTGATTAGTTATACGGCATATATTGTTTTGAAACGCGCAGCGATTTATAATTCTATTTCCTAAAAATGTCGGAAAGCGGACGTAAAATCTGAAAGACCAGTTTGAAGACGGTTTACGTTCGGGTTAAATATCTTCTCTCAAATATTTGATTAACGTAAACCATATTTGGGGCAATGTGAACGTCGCATTTCTACTTCCAACGTATCTTTTTATCAGTACTTGAAGATGAAGCGCGACATTCCACGGATACATTTTGGGAATGTAAACATACGGAACTTTGCCGGGTCGCTGTTTAATTGCGAGTCGAATTGAGACATTTTAACCGTCGGAAAACATAAACGTAATGTTTCCACCAGTGATGTTAGCTGCGTGAAGCAACTGCAAACCAAGAAACGGGATGCAACGGAGTAGTTTACTGTAGGAGGCTGTACGAGGCGATGACAACTGACATGCATCGTGACGTCGCTTACATTGTGACGTAATGCAAAATTGTTCGATTACGAGGGGGCAGACTAGAATGGCGCAGTGACGCCAATACATTGTGACGTAATGCAAAAATGTGCACGTTATCGCCTGATAAAGTTCTGTTGGCGCTTTTGATCTTTCAACGAAGCATCTTAGAACTTCTCATCAGATCAAATAACTCTCTCAGAGTATACCTACCCCTGGACTCACTAAAGGAATGTTATGATCACCCCAAAGAGATTCATTCCCCTTCCGCAAATCAATTCTGCCTGTCTGATGATTCTGATAGAAGAATGTCGAGAAGCTATGCAAGTTGATGTCTTCCCTTACTCGGAACGTAAAGGTAGCTCGATCAAAACAGGATGACAGAGTATTGGATGTACTCACCGCGAAAACCATCCTCAACCCCACTGTTACGAAAATCCAGTGATGTACAGTTCTGGGCTGAACCCGAGAGTGTCATGTCAAGATTGAGAAGCACAGAGTCAGCTGAGATACACTGTAGAGAGATCCAGAAGTTGGTTGACGCCGGCTACGTGAACATACTGAAGGGTGAGGGTGAACCTGTTTCAGATTATCTAAGTTTGGTATTCTATGGCGCTGACATGTTTTCTTTTTCTTTAATTCCTATGAATATGAGTAATGTAGCTTTTATTGACTGGGTGTATCATCAATTGTTGTCACAGCCCCCTAGTGTACAGTACACAACCCTGTGCACTTCAAAGAACCGTCGAATCCGTTGCTAAATGACCAGATGGTGGCGACATGAATGCGTGCAAACACCTAGTTGTGGGTACAGCAACTTGCAGTAAAACTTGGACAAAGTACTGTGACTATGTAACGCACTGTTTAGGGTGGCGTAACAGCCCAGACCATACGTACCGCTTCCGCACTGTCCATCTTTGTGTCCGAAGGTCGATTCTGACACAGATAAAACGTAATGATGGGCACAATTGCAGATGGCTAGACTGCCTGCAAAATGAGGTATTGACTTCATGGAGTGGCCAGCGACATCACCTGACCTCAATGTCATCGAACACGTATAAGCTGCTATTGGAAGACGTCTTCATACCTTGAAACGTCAATCCCAGAATGCTCAAAAGCTGGGCGCCATGTTGGTACAGCAATGATGCAGGTTGCCTAATGCTGTGTTCACGGGTGCCAGGCAGTCGGTGAGACAACGTTGCCTTCCTGTTGCGATTGCGAGAGGGGACATACACGGAACAAACTTCAATGCAGATGTCCAGTCCCTGTGCTCAAATAAACAAATAACAAATGCATCAGTATGGCAGAAGAAAAACGAGTGGAATAAAGATTCATAAGGAGCATAATACAAAAACAGTGACGTATACAATAAAGACAGAGATGGTGATATTCACCTCTAAGCAACAGTTACCTAACTTGCAAGAAAAGCCTAGGCAGATGAGTATCCAGGCTATAATCATCACCACACGTACTGCCAGTCCTTTTGAGATGTAATGTGTGGTAGTAGTGTTATAGTTGCAGGGCGACTTGGACTGACTGACTGAGTTTGATTTTACGCCGCTTTTAGCAATATTCCAGCAACATCACGGCGGGGGACACCAGGCGACTTGGACCAAAGTAAAGTCTATTTGCGCCCAACACATTAATTGAAGTTGAACTATATATATCCTAAATATAAGTAGGCCTACTGCAAATGTTTATATTTACCATGCAAACAAATGTATTCACTATCCAGATATTTTGATGAAATGACAGGATCTTCTGTTTAATGATATGAATTAAAACATCAAGCAACCACTTTTTGTTTTCGAAAAAACAACAACCAAAAAACACACAAAAATATGATGCTCGTTCAATAAAAAAGCAGGAAAATCAGACTGAAAAGGAAATGTTGAAACGATTTAATCGCAATAAATGAATGTGAGATAAGAGCAAGAGTTATCTCCCCTTGTATATGAAAGAAAACGAAGGATAATGCTAAGTGCATATGATCCTGTAGAAAGGGGGCACGCACCTAATACAACCATCGGGCGGTTTAGCGTCAGTCAGCCATGGGGTAAGGCAAATACACAATTGTCTTTTAAATGACCAACGTTCGGGGAGGTAAACCTGCTTCAGTTATCATCAACACCAGCGCGTCACCTTACTTGTACCTCGATGCTGTGCATTTGCTGAATGTATTTGTGCTTGTGGGGAACATGACACAGTAATGACCTAATTATGCTAGGTCGTTCTGACTGGGTCACCTTGTTCCACGTGCGGTCGGCAAGGGCGAGGTTGTTTTCAGTGGCCGACCACCTCGGGATTATCCTATATGTAATCATGCTTTCGTCATCTGAATATCATCTTAACATGGTGGCTAATATCACATACATAGAGGATACTAAACGACCTTCCGTGTAATACCAATATTAAACGAGTTAATAATTTGGTATCAAACGAGCGAAAGTGAGTTTTATACTAAATCTTTCACGAGTTTGATAAAAATGATATTTCACGGAAGCGAGTTTAGTATTCTGTTTATTACTCTCCAACATAAATAGAGGAGATTATATGAGTGCCCATGTCATACTATGTTTACAACACGAGTGCCTAAATGTTGGCATTTCCCGAGCGAGAGCGAGGGATATACCGATATATAGGCAGGAGTGTCGTAAACATAGTGTGATATGGGTACGAATATAATATTCTGTTTATTACCGAAGTTGTTAAATTGAGGAAAATAAACCCAAATCTACTTTCAAACGAAGGCTGGCTGCCCGCCGTCACCGCATGTAGAACGCAACGTCACAGAAGAAACGTGACGTCATAGCCTTGTTCATGACGTCACGTCACCATGACAAAGTGATATATTGCCCTAGGGCATCGTATGAAAAATATTAACCCCGATATGACTGCCCTCGTAAGTAATAAATATTGATAGAAACTGCCTACAGTGTGATGACTCTCAGCTTTCCACGAGTCAAACAAGGTCTAATACCATTGTGACAGAGGTATTAGCATTGTGACGTCATAACTGTACCAATATGACGTCATACGTCTAGCGGTATTACACTAGTGTAATAATGCCGTGAAAATATTACACTGTAGTATCTTCCACGGGCGAGTAATAAATGTCATTCTGGAGAAGGAATTTGGTAAGGACGTGACATTGGAATAAAGACATTCCCTCAATCCCACAGACACACCGGCAGACAGTGGAATGTATCCGAAATGGAATAAGATCCATTTGTTTACTAGTTTACGTTACCATCACATTAAAAATTGAGGGCCTACATTTAGAATACAGCACCACAAACTTTAAAAATACGTCACAATACACTTTTACGTAATTAAGTGTGATTTTGTTCGAAAGCACGTTCTCGAAACAATGCCCTATGTCGCCTCCATGGCAACACGGTTGTCTAGCTCAGCTATCTCCTCGAGCTATGTCATTGCATAAGCCTAACGATGTCAAGAGTTTCCAGTAGTTGTATACCGGCGGATGCGCAATTTTTTGCAAGCACCAGTTTGAAATTTTTCTTTTTTTCACTAATACGCTCATATTTATTTGTATTACGGGGTGCTGAGGTGTTATGTTTTGTGTATTATTGCGTTTTGTATCTTTAAAATTTAGCGAGAATGCGTTACACCGGTCTATATTATATATAGGTGCCACACATAATATTATTGTCAAATGGTAATAGTTAGATACGCGGATTCCTAAAACCTATATATACATATACGTTTCTTATTCCTATAGCTACACGATTTGGATTTTAAGTAATGAGATTAAATAACACACTAGCAGTCATAATAGCCATGAAGTCAGCGAAACTAATGTTCCTCTAATCACTGCATTAGGCAAGTTTTTAAAAGCCGAGGCAGTATATCTGCGGTGAAAATATTATCTTCGCACAACCGCTAAATGCCTCCCAGAATGTTCCATACTATGGTCTATGCTATTCCAGGGTTTTACATCTGACTATTCCAAACCACTGCTACATTATACAGTAATATGTTCAGACAAATTCTATGGTTAAAACATGATGTTATGAACGGGTTACGGAGAAAACGGACCCCAGCGGAAACGGACCCCAAAAATCGAGAAAACGGCCACCGCGATGCAGAGAATGGCCTCCGAACCTAGAGAAAACGGCCAACATAGTTGCACGAAGATCAAAGGAGATTATATGATTATATATATCCTCAATAATAGAGATTTACTTCATTGCGAATAAGCTTTTAAAAACTGATTGATTTGGTTGGGTTTTTATATTCGATATCCATAGCGGTTTAGACAAGTCTTGTCTAGGGATCCGAGATTCGCCGTGAATTGTTTCTGATGAAGACCAGAAACCTTGGGTAGTTGGTTTGAATGAAATATTATGAACCTTAGCGAAAACACAGCACAAAACCTCCCTGGTTTTCAGCGACGAGATAGGGGCCTAAGAACAGACTTTCTACCCTACTAAACTGAAGACGTCATAAGAGTGATACACTGTTCAAAGTCACGTAAAACATCACGCACTCATCAAAGACACATTACAGAACGACTTCAGCGTGACACAGTCGTCCAAAGGCAAAATCCCCTGGATGAAATACGACGGAGAGGCTGTAGAAGACTCCCAGTTCTGTGTGGAGTATCTGAACCGGAAGTTAAACATTAACCTAAACAGTCACCTGACCGAAGAACAACGAGCTATTGCGCATGCGTTTAGGAAGATGGCGGAAGAGAACCTGTACTGGTACGTTATATCATTCTATGAGCTATATTCATCATGAAGCTTCTCTGTGAATGTACTGAATATTTGTGCAGGGATTTCCTTGTAAATCTTAACATATGGAGTGGAAAATAGATTTACAAAACACATATTTTAACAGAAAGTCTGAAAGAATGTGTTGGTTCCCCAAACATGTGAGCTTCTCCATTCAGAGAAAGCGCCGTTTGTAATGAATCAGTGACCAAATAACATTCACCCTGACAGTTATCCCAGGGACTCCAGACTATTAGATCATCGATCTCTTAGTTTTGTCAGGATCCGCTTCTAGTAGGTTCCCTTGGCATTAAGGGCCGGGCGGAAGTAAAAATGGGGCGGTGGTGAAGCTTAGCGCTTAAAGCATTCACTCGTCACGCAGAAGACCGGGTTTAATTCCCCACATTGGTATAATATATACTCATGCCACACACCTCACACCTCACACCCCACACCCCTCTTCAATTAAAAAATTGAAGGGGGTGACAACCATTATTGGCATGAGTATATGAATACTCATCTTTGATGTACTCGCGCACAGCCATAGGGAGGAAGTCAAAATTATTATCACTGCCGCATGGTTGATGAGAGATGTTATTTTCCAGGTGTATGGGGATGGCTAGAATTGAAAATATGGAGTTTATGACAAGTATGCCTGGAAATAGATTCAACAAACTATTTATTTGGTATGGTATACGCGTGTATCGGAACCAAATGAAAGCTCACGGAATCGGACGACACTCCCATGAAGAAATCCTGCATATTATGGAGGGTGATTTGAGATCACTGTCAGTCTACCTAGGTAAGGAATGCAAGGCGAGTTGTCTTTGACTTCAGCATAGATAAGTTTGTGTTGGCTAACATTTGCTTTGTGTTTGTGTTTCCATACGCCTAAACGAGGACGAGGCTACTCAGAGTTGAGGACTTCTGTTTCCCGATGACTCATGACAGAAGGGTCGGGCCCTGTGGGGCTTTAAATTGTTGTCTATTTTGTATCATCATTTTTAGTGTAACGAAATAGATATTCCGTGGAGATTGTTTGATGATTTGATTGATGATGTTTAATTGTTTGTTGATTGATTGACTTTTTTATTGATTGGTGATGTAATTGATTGATTGAATGAATGATGAATTAATTGATTTATTGATTGATGAATTGATTGATTTTTTCATTGATGATTGTAATTGATTGTTTTTTTGATTGATTGATTGATCGATTGATCGATCGGTTGGTTGATACGGTAAATGTATATTCCTTTATTACTTTCATTTTTCAGGAGATAAGAAGTTCTTTTTCGGCGATCAACCATGTGAGACAGATGCTGCTTTGTTTGGACAGTTGTCGCAGATTTACTGGCAGTGTCCAGGAAGCAAAGGGGAACAACTCTTGAACGGTAGACCAAAGGAGTTATCTCATCTTTGAAGCATTCTTTGAAGAGCCCCTAGACTATGCCATAAAATCCGTTCAAACAATATTTCCGGTCCTTTCATTTCTATACAAAGGCATATATCATTAATTTGTTTTGGTTAAAAGGATAAATGGTCTGGGATTTTCTTGAACAGTTAACAAACCTAGTCATATCATGCTGAACCCGGAATTATAAGAATATGCATCATGAAATGTAAACATAAGATAACGTCATTTACGTAAGTTCAGATCCTCTACAACAGTTCTCTTTCAGAAAGATTCTCAAATTTGATTGAGAATATTTCATTGGCAGTCGCATGAACATGTATGAACATAAGGAGGGAAAAGTTATGTCCTAACATTTTAAACTAAGTGGTTCATACCAAGAGGAAAAGACGTGTGAAATATCATCCTCCCGTTCGGTTTTTTTTTCAGAAAAGTTCACAAATCTGGTGGAGTATTGCGAACGAATGAAGGCGGCATTTTGGCCGGACTGGGAGGACTGCATCACGGTGGAAGGAACTAAAACTGCAACAAAATGACACGAGAACTTATTAAATGGTCCTGATGAACGTCAGTTGTTAAACCGGAAGTTAATGATGGTTCACGTTGCATGATCCTAACGTCGTTGTAATCCTCTGAAGAAAAGATGTCAGTCCAAATAAAGAATGCATGAAGATACCACACCAAACTAGAATGCACACTAAACTGATGTAAATGACGTTTATTGATGATGAATATTGTGACGTCATTATTTTGAGTAAAGGTGATTATTTGCCAAAGCATGATTTGTTTAGAAGTGTGAGACATGACGTTGACATTCATCATCTGATTCAACCTTAAACCTCAGGATGCGGTAGCAGCGTGGTTAAAGCGTTGACTCACCATGCCGGAGGTCCGGGTTTGATTCCCAACATGGGGAAATATGTCCAATATGTTACCAGAAAGGTGTAAATAAATACGTGATATCGAATAAATTACCTACACCTAAAATTATCAATTGAATTAAAGGTCAGGGTCATATTCTAAAGGACGAGCGTATTGGGTACGAACTATGTTTATCCATAGCAAACGTTTAAGAACATGACGTTTCAAGAAAGGAAGAATTTTGCCTGTTTGGAATATACGTATGTATGTCGGTGGCAAGCAGCGAATAAAGGACTATGAATGTGATTGTATAAATTAAGTGATCTTAGACTGTTTTTGTCAGTGTCATGGCTGATGAGCGTCAAGTGAAGTTCTTGTTGAAGAGCACATGGACATATTAAAGTAGGCGCATTACTGTAAACAGCTGAGAGAACACGGGGTTGTCTGATCCATGTACTCTGCACCAGTATGTGCAGTATGTTTTGATAGTGGCCGTGAAACATGCCTGTCCCGTGCTGGTATTCGGAACACATATCTTCATGACAGCAAGTGAGCAAGTTGACATGGAAGTGCTGCCATGTTTTGGATGAGTTCATGTGCGTGTGACAACAGAAAACACTTTCAAACGTCTTCAGCAGATTCACTACACAATACCAACATGCATGTGGCGTTCGAACAACTTCACTACGTGCATGCTACACCCAACAACCACGCTAGAATTCAGCAATAACCTCTCAAGGTTTTAATAACATGCATGTCACACCCAACAACCTCTCAAGGTTTCAATAATATGCATATCACACCCAAAAACCTGACTAGACTTCAGTAACCTCCACGTACGTCAGAGCCAACCACCTCACCAGACTTCAGTAACCTCCACGTAAGACCCAACCACCTCACAAGACTTCAGTAACCTCCACGTACGTCGGACCCAACCACCTCACTAGACTTCAGTAACCTCCACGTACGTCAGACCCAACCACCTCACTAGACTTCAGTAACCTCCACGTACGTCGGACCCAACCACCTCACAGAGACTTCAGTAACCTCCACGTCAGACCCAACCACCTCACTAGACTTCAGTAACCTCAACGTCAGACCCAACCACCTCACCAGACTTCAGTAACCTCCACGTCAGACCCAACCATCTCACCAGACTTCAGTAACCTCCACGTAAGACCCAACCACCTCACAAGACTTCAGTAACCTCCACGTACGTCAGACCCAACCACCTCACTAGACTTCAGTAACCTCCACGAACGTCAGACCCAACCACCTCACAAGACTTCAGTAACCTCCACGTACGTCGGACCCAACCACCTCACTAGACTTCAGTAACTTCCACGAACGTCAGACCCAACCACCTCACTAGACTTCAGTAACCTCCACGTCAGACCCAACCATCTCACTAGACTTCAGTAACCTCCACGTACGTCAGACCCAACAATCCCACCAGACTTCAGTAACCTCCACGTACGTCAGACCCAACAATCCCACCAGACTTCAGTAACCTCCACGTAAGACCCAACCACCTCACTAGACTTCAGTAACCTCCACGTACGTCGGACCAAACCACCTCACTAGACTTCAGTAACTCACTCCACGAACGTCAGACCCAACCACCTCACTAGACTTCCAGACTTCAACCTCCACGAACGTCAGACCCAACCACCTCACTAGACTTCAGTAACCTCCACGTACGTCAGACCCAACAATCCCACCAGACTTCAGTAACCTCCACGTAAGACCCAACCACCTCACAAGACTTCAGTAACCTCCACGTCGGACCCAACCACCTCACTAGACTTCAGTAACTTCCACGAACGTCAGACCCAACCACCTCACTAGACTTCAGTAACCTCCACGTCAGACCCAACCATCTCACTAGACTTCAGTAACCTCCACGAACGTCAGACCCAACCACCTCACTAGACTTCAGTAACCTCCACGTACGTCAGACCCAACAATCCCACCAGACTTCAGTAACCTCCACGTAAGACCCAACCACCTCACTAGACTTCAGTAACCTCCACGTCGTCAGACCCAACCATCTCACCAGACTTCAGTAACCTCCACGTAAGACCCAACCACCTCACTAGACTTCAGTAACCTCCACGTCAGACCCAACCACCTCACCAGACTTCAGTAACCTCCACGAACGTCAGACCCAACCACCTCACTAGACTTCAGTAACCTCCACGTCGTCAGACCCAACCATCTCACTAGACTTCAGTAACCTCCACGTAAGGACCCAACCACCTCACTAGACTTCAGTAACCTCCACGTAAGACCCAACCACCTCCAGTAACCTCCACGTCAGACCCAACAATCCCACCAGACTTCAGTAACCTCCACGTAAGACCCAACCACCTCACTAGACTTCAGTAACCTCCACGTCAGACCCAACCACCTCACTAGACTTCAGTAACCTCCACGTAAGACCCAACCACCTCACTTGACTTCAGTAGCCTCAACGTAAGACCCAACCACCTCACTAGACTTCAGTAACCTCCACGTACGTCAGACCCAACCATCTCACCAGACTTCAGTAACCTCCACGTCAGACCCAACCACCTCCTCACTGGACTAGACTTCGTCAGTAACCTCCACGTACGTCAGACCCAACCACCTCACTAGACTTCAGTAACCTCCACGTAAGACCCAACCACCTCACTAGACTTCAGTAACCTCCACGTCAGACCCAACCACCTCACTAGACTTCAGTAACCTCCACGTGCACGACAGACCAACCACCTCACTAGACTTCAGTAACCTCCACGTAAGACCCAACCACCTCACTAGACTTCAGTAGTTCACTAGACTTCAGTAACCTCCACGTACGTCAGACCCAACCATCTCACCAGACTTCAGTAACCTCCACGTAAGACCCAACCACCTCACTAGACTTCAGTAACCTCCACGTACGTCAGACCCAACAATCCCACCAGACTTCAGTAACCTCCACGTCAGACCCAACCATCTCACCAGACTTCAGTAACCTCCACGTCAGACCCAACCACCTCACTAGACTTCAGTAACCTCCACGTAAGACCCAACCACCTCACTAGACTTCAGTAACCTCCACGTAAGACCCAACCAACCACCTCACTTCAGACTTCACGTTACCTCCACGTACGTCAGACCCAACCATCTCACCTCCGTACGTCAGACCCAACCATCTCACTAGACTTCTCCTCCACGTAAGGCCCAACCACACCCAACCACCCCACTCAGACTTCAGTAACCTCCACGTACGTCAGACCCAACAACCCCTCACCAGACTTCAGTAACCTCCACGTAAGACCCAACCACCTCACTAGACTTCAGTAACCTCCACGTCAGACCCAACCATCTCACTAGACTTCAGTAACCTCCACGTAAGACCCAACCACCCCAACCACCTCACTAGACTTCAGTTTACCCTCCACGTACGTCAGACCCAACCATCTCACCAGACTTCAGTAACCTCCACGTAAGGACCCAACCACCTCACTAGACTTCAGTAACCTCCACGTACGTCAGACCCAACAATCCCACCAGACTTCAGTAACCTCCACGTCAGACCCAACCACCTCACCAGACTTCAGTAACCTCCACGTCAGACCCAACCACCTCACTAGACTTCAGTAACCTCCACGTAAGACCCAACCACCTCACTAGACTTCAGTAGCCTCCACGTAAGACCCAACCACCTCACTAGACTTCAGTAACCTCCACGTACGTCAGACCCAACCATCTCACCAGACTTCAGTAACCTCCACGTAAGACCCAACCACCTCACTAGACTTCAGTAACCTCCACGTACGTCAGACCCAACCACCTCACTAGACTTCAGTAACCTCCACATCAGACCCAACCACCTCACTAGACTTCAGTAACCTCCACGTCACGTCAGACCCACTTCCGGTAACCTCCACCAACCTCCCAACCACCTCACTAGACTTCAGTAACCTCCACATCAGACCCAACCACCTCACTAGACTTCAGTTACCTCCACGTACGTCAGACCCAACCCTCTCACCAGACTTCAGTAACCTCCACGTCAGACCCAACCACCTCACCAGACTTCAGTAACCTCCACGTACGTCAGACCCAACCACCTCACCAGACTAGACTTCCAGTAACCTCCACGTAAGACCCAACCACCTCACCAGACTACAGTAACCTCCACGTCAGACCCAACCACCTCACCAGACTTCAGTAACCTCCACGTCAGACCCAACCACCTCACTAGACTTCAGCAACGTGCTTCCCACACCAGACCTCATTAAACTTCAGCCATATGCATGTCACACCCAACAACATTATGATTACACAATGCCTTTTAGAAAGCGGTCAAATGTTACATAATTTTTACTATTTTTTTTAGCAAAGTAAGGATTTTTGTACTTTTGTTGGGTTGAGTCCCATCCGGGATTCGATAATTAACAGACAGACGTTATCCAGGTGGAGTTAAAATTTAACGTCACATCGGCAATATTGCAGCCATATCGTGACGAGAACAGTTTATATCAATATTCAAATCAATAAATGTATTACGTAAACACCTGTCACCGAAGAACAGTAAAAATACTAGAGTATCACAGCTACAGAAATTGAAAACTAGTACGCTATCGTAAAATTAAATCACTATAGACAGTACAAAATAAAAACGGGCTATAGATCACCAACAACTGAAGGTAGATCACCATACTAGGGACCATGGGGACTTACAGTACCTTTGCTACCTGCATGGACCCTAGCTGGATTTACACCATCCCTTCAACCATTGGTGACTGAAGACAAATCTAGCCATAAAGTAAAAGCACACATATTCTACAAATGTGGCAAGTCTAAATTTACTTTAAATGTGTTGGGACTTTTACAATACTTCAACCCAATATGAGGGTACAGCCACTAACAATTGAAGTTGATAATCTAAACTACCAATTATATAACCTTATCTATTTACAAAATATATATCAAATTTCTTTTAACAAATCTATCTCCTTTAAAACATCAATGATTAAAACATCAATGAACTTTATTAAAAAGGTCCTTTACTGTTTTGATATTGAAATATGTATCCCTTATGATGGAGAATTCAACACAGTCAAGCAAGTC